TTCGGGCTCACCAATGCTCCTGCCATGTTCTTGGATCTCCTGAACCGCATGTGCAAACCGATGTTGGATCGGTCTGTGATAGTTTTCATTCATGAGATCTTGGTTTATTCCAAGATGCGAGAGCAGCATGAGGAGCACTTTCAAGAGGTTTTGGATACTTTGAGGAGGGAGAGCTTGTATGCTAAGTTCTCCAAGTGCGAGTTCTGGTTGCAAGGGGTGAAGTTTCTTGGGCACCTTGTCTACTAGAACGAGATTTTTGGTTGATCCGGACAAGGTGGAGGTTATGATGAGGTGGGAGGTCCCGAGATCTTCATCTGATATTTGGAGCTTCCTAGGACTGGTAGGCTACTATCGGAGAATTATTCAGGACTTCTCCAAGATAGTCATGCCCCTGACCCGGTTGACTTGGAAAGTCGTGGTCTTTTGTTGGGGGCCTGAGCAGCATGCCACATTTGAGACGTTGAGACAGAGATTCTGTGAGGCGCCAATCTTAGCCCTGCTAAAGGGCATGGAGGACTTTGTGGTATACTACGATGCGTCCATCTCGGTTTTTGGCGTGTGTTTTAGACTTTAGAGGTAGTTGAGATACCTACCTTCCGTTAGCTGAGTTCTCCTATAACAATAGCTATCATCCGAGTATGTAACATCCGGATTTTCAAGGATATGATTGTGTATGTTAAACTTGAGATTACAGGAGAGACTCGACGAGTTGAGGGTCCAACTCACCGAGTCGAGTCGTGTTTCTCCCGTGGTTTAATGAGTGGACTTGACGAGTTAGGGGAGGGACTCGCCGAGTAGGTGCTGGGCAGAGAAACCATAACTTCCGAGGTTTGGCACTTATTTAAAGGCACTTAAGGTCTCCTATTGTGGCTACCCTTCAGAGGAGTGAACCCTAAACGAGTCTTGAGTGCTTTGGGTAAGAGAGAGAGAGAGAGAGAGAGAGAGAGAGAGACAGAGAGAGAGAGCCATGTGGAGCTTCTTGGTGGGTGTCTTGCAAGGAAGAGTAAGGTTTCAAGCCAAAGGGGCCAGAGAAGGTTGTAGATTCACGATTTACAACCAAGTAGCACTAGTTGGAGGTATCAATTCAGACTCCCTTTCTTCCCTATTTGAGTAGATCTTTCTTTTGTGGATTAGCGCTTGTATTACCTTCATGGTGGGGTTTTAAATGCATCAAACCCCTTTTATGAGCTGGTAACATAAATCTGGACCTTGGAGGGTCCAGAGAGTCCGAAAGTGAGAAGCACTACAATAAAAAAGGGTATCAGAGACTGACATAATTAGTCTCCGATGGTCATTAATCAGTCTCTGATGAGAATTGGAGACTGATTTAGCTAGTCCCTAGCCAGTCCCTGAGACCTAGTCTTAGATAATCGATTTTTTATGTATATGGGATTGAAAATCAGTCCCTAATACATCAAAGTATCAATGATAGAAAATCAGTCCCTGATAATATCCCATTCAGTCTCTAATCTTTTTTCATCAAATCCTCAATTTGATGTCATATCATTCCTTGATATTATCTTTTAGGGATTGAATATCAACTCTTAATAATATATTATTCAGTCTCTAATATTTCATTGGCATCTTTATTTCATGTCTTATTAGTCTCTAATACCATCTTTCAAAGACTAAATATTAGTCTTTGAATCATGTTTAGTCTCAAACATCTTTCCATAAAACAACCATTCTGGGACTGAGTATCAGTCTTCCAAACTAGGGATGAGCCTAACTGGGTACCCCACCTATTTTAGATGGAATCGGAACCGCTCTCGGAACTAGCAGTTCTAAAGTTATTGGTATTGGAATGAACTGATTACACCGGTTCCTAGAAATTTGGAACCAGTTCTGGTTCCGGGTACCCGGTTTTTTGAATATTAAGTTTTTTATTTTATACATTCAATTGAAATTAACTTTTATAAGTAATATGAATTCAAGATATAAACTAAAACAATTAAAAAAAATTGATCTCAACAAAACAAATGGAATTTAACAAGTATGAAACAAACTACAAAACAACAAAATATACACAGTCTCAAAACAACAAAATATCATTAACAAAACAGCACAAAATAGCAACAACAACATCATTGAACTCCGCAATCACAAAACCAGTCACATTAGCCAACTAATCAATCATATAACTTCAAGACAAAACAAAAATGATTTGATTAAAACAATGACCTTACAAATCTTGTTGAAGGTAACAATATCACAACTTTAAACAAAGTCATTAATGGGTTCTCATAGAGTCTTTCTTCAAACACCAAATAATGGGCACATCTACCAAAGGTAGTAACACAGACTCTAACCCTGATCCCAACATTTCATGCATGTATATTGAAGGGCCTTAGGCACCAACTCCATGGTCTACATGAATATTAGTAGCTCCTTCACTAGCTAAGGCAAAAAGAGGAACTAACTACAGTTGTACCAAATTCATTCACCTGAACAAATAAGAAAAAAAAACGATTGCTTATGTCTTAAAGAAGCACTGTGACTGATATTTAAACAAAAAAAAACAGAATAATACCTCGCACTTAGTTGTTCAGAGCAAGGTCACATTTTTAATTGAATTGATTTAAGTACCTTCACAAACTAGCTTTTGGAGAAACCACTTGCTATAAATCCAATGATGTAAGAGAAAGTTAAATGTTTTTATTAGTTTATGCAATGAACAAGGAAGTGCAACTAAGGAGACTTACATGTAAGGTCCTGCAATCAAAACAATGGAGAATTTTAAGTTTATACAATCTCAAATGTTCTTGAAGAAGGATTGAAGATAATGACTTCGAATTAACTGTAATTCTCATGTCTATCTAGAATCTTGTACTAACCATGGAGGCCTTTCAAAGCATCGAAACAGAGGAAAGTGTCTTCAACTAACACCGGTCCTTTCACCTACTCACATACAATACACACATTCTAAATAAGCAAAATGTAACTCATGAAGAACATCAATGGAGATCACATATTAGGAGTGTGTGTTTGGTTAGTGGCCAAACGAGCTTTCACTTTCGCGATGTCCTTCGAATCACCTGCACATATTTACATAAATAAACTTCACATATTTACAGAAATTATGATTTTCAGAATTAAACTTCACATACTTCACTACTAGAAAAACAGCCTTTTATGAAGCTCATTGTGCGTCGTAAAATGCTCAGACGACGCGCAAATGCCTGTCAAGGAAGTCTCTGTCATAAAGAGTGACGACACGCTTTTACGTGTCGTCTATAGACAACGCGCATTTACGACGCTCATTTATGAAACGCATTTACGACGCACAAGTATGACACACAATGAGTATCAAGGAAGGCCCTGTCATAAAGGAACACGACACACATTTGCGTGTCGTAACCTTACGACACGCGTGTTTATGACACACAATATGTATCAAGGAAGCCCCTATCATAAATGAAGATGACACGCATTTGCATGTCATAAACTTCAGTAACCACGATATGCATTTACGATGCATCTTTATGATACTCATTTACGCATAATACAAAATTTTGTAAACAAATATATACTAAAACAATCAATTTCATCCAATAACATCATGTCAAAAAATTGTAATACAATGATATTAATGGGATCTAATTGTACATTGTTACTGAAAGGTTTTCCGTAACTATATAACCTAATACTATATTGCTGCAAAGCAATGCTACACAAAGATGATAAACATCAAATTCCAACTAAGTAGAGTTGCATCTTTCCTTTCATAATTCTTTAAGACTAATGAACCCCTGCTCCGATAAGTCTTGTGACCTGATCGAATAAAAGTGTAAAAATTAATATGCTAATATAATAAATTGAAGAATCAACTAAAATTGGAAATGTACACGAGGCTGCAACTTTCAACTAAACTAGTTCAAATACCAATTCAACTAAAAGCAACTTTCTTTCTGGAGTGTCCCTGTTACACTTTCAAGTAATATAGTCCTTTCATGCATGGCTTAAGTAGAGCTAGTTAGTGAGGGCGATGATGTCTTTTTACAATTAGATCAGTCAGGTCATTATTTTTTTGGTATAAGTAGGTGGTTTGTTGACTTATGGAGCTTCCATGACCAATTCTATTTAATGTTTTTAATCACAAAAACTTACCTCTAGTTGTACCTTTCCACCAGCTCCCATTCCCTCCAATTCAACTAGCACTTCATGTGAATTTCCTGGTAAACATGGTTCTATGCTTTAGAGACATTATGGTGGAGCTTGTTTTCTATAGTTTATAAGATAACATCTGGACATTAATACATTTATAAACTGCAGCAATCCTTCAAACTTACAGTATAGCATCAAGGGTGTTGGAATAATATCCTATGCTAACTTCATAATGTTGAGTTTTTGTTTTAAATTTGTTTGAGGTGCAAAGAAGATAAAGACTTAAAGCATCCAAAAGAAAAAGAAGAAATCTCACCATCACATATGGACTCCAAGCTGACAATTCCATTGCCCATAAGTTTATGGGGAGTAACAAGATTAGCATCCCAAGCTACAACCTAAAGTTAAATTGGTTCATAACATAAATTTTGAGGATCCAAAATGAGTTATGCATGGTTTCATGACACAACAAAATCTATAATGCAAGTATTAGCAAAACTAACAAAGATGATACCATTTTAAACTTGAAATACCAAAATGCCTACTTAATCCCATGTTTAGTGCCATAATAAGAAAGAAGATTAAAGGTTGTTTAGTGGTAACTAGGAATAAGACATAAAGTGGATACAATAATTATCCACTTAAAATGCATTGATAACCTGAAGATCGATGGTTGGCGAATGCTTGATGTGTAATGTGAGATCTTCATTCCAAGTTGGTTCCTTTGTCCCGACAAAATTTTTTTTAATGCAAAGACTAATTCACTACTTATGTTACATGTATGTAGTATACTTTGACAAGTTAAGAGTAGAAAGTACATATATTTGTCTTCCATCAAAGAAAACACAAGCCAGATACAAGAAGAATGAGACCATATTGAATATACTCACCCCTATTTAACATTGCTTTTTCACAATCTGACTATCCAATTGCAAAACCACATAAGGATCACTTGTTACCTGAAAGCAGAAATTGGGCAACACATGAGAACACTTCAAACATAGATTTTCTAATCCCTAAAAAGTGACCAAATGGTGCTGCATATATAGATGTAAATGTATAAACGTTTCATCTAAAGGAAAGATATGCAGAAGAGAGGTTACCCATGGATCCATGGCACGAAAATCATAACCCTTCTTAAGCTTTATAAACACCTGGCCATCATAAATCTCACGAAAAAAACAACCTAACAAAAGAAGTGAAGGCTCCAGTTAAATTAAAGCACCCGATGTAAAAATCGTTACTAAGTAAATGAATAAATAGTACCTTTGCTTTAAGAGTTCCATAATGGTAACATAGTTTGATTAATTACGAAACTAACCTTCCTATTTTCTTGTAGGCTCAATAAGTCTATTTAATTCTTATATAAGATCACCAGTAGCATTTGTATCATATAAAGGCTTTCCAGGGGTATCTAAAGTAGAGATGCCTATTTATGGTAATTCCTCCACTATGGTTTGCGTCAATGACACATGTACACAATGAGGGTATTTTTGTCATAAAGAAATTTATCAGAGGCTTTACATTTCTACTCCACTACCTAATGATCATTCTTTATATCCTTGTTTCTTTTTTATTTAGTAAGAAAAGTCAAGAAAACAAGGCTTTCACATTAACTGCTGACTATTTACAAAAATACCACTGAGATAGATAGATAGATACCTGTTCATTGTGTTCATATATTTTCCTCTGTTGAAAATTCATAGGTATGGTGTTCTTAGCACCAAAGGTCACCATATCTAAAGCTCCTACACTCAAAACAAAAAAGTAAGAATTTTATAAGCCCCTTAGTAGTTACAATCTAGAATTTAAAAATGTAATATAAAGTTTTCAAGAATCACCTGTAACATATGAGGGAATAACTCAAAAAAACCCGTAACAACTTTCATTATCACTATGAAAGTAACAGGGTCAAGGTGGATCGCTTTCCCAAATTCAAAACCTTCCAACTACAAAATTAAAATTAAAGATTACTAATTCATGGAAGCAAATAAAGGATAAAATAGTTAGCCATTAATTAGTTAAAAAGAAAAAAAAGAAAAACAGAAAAAGAACCTTGTTTTCTTTTCCAACTTTAGGGAGCTCTCCCAATACATATTCTTTAATTTTGGGATTTTCACATAAAGCTTCAAAATCCCCAGAAATGTTATATGCTTCAGTAAAATGCTCAATTGCTTTCTGATTTGGATTCGCAACAGCAACAAGACACACCTCAAAGTTGTTACCAAAGATCCATATATAAAATACCAACCATAAATTAAATAACGTCCTAAATGGCTTTTTAGGTAAATAAGTTGAAATTGTGAGTATTTTAAGTAATGTACCAAATCAAGATCAGAAAAAAGTCCAAATACATTCTCAAGATTTTCAACATCAATATATTCTCCTTGTGAGAGTTTGAATATGTTTTTCTTGCGATCAATATTTTTCATGCTTCCATCAGGTTGCTACTCACCAATATCACCTAAACCATTAAATAATATAAGTTAATATTTTTTTTTTATTGTAAATTATATACCTATATGGAACCAACCATCAACTAGGACTTATGTTGTAAGGTCTTCTCTTTTATAATAGCTTGCAAATAAAATCAAAAGATCACTATGGTTCCCTTTGTTATGTATCTTCTTAATTCTAAATAGTTCACCAAGAAAGTCGAGAAATAAACTTAAGCGGGAGCAGGATCAAGAATCAAACATAAAACAAAAAATAAATAAAAGATGTTTGGAATCACTCAGTTCTATCTTAGCACAAAATATAAATGAAGAGATGCCATTGACATTATATGTTACTAAATGAAAATAGAAATATGCCTTAATGGATAAAAGATCTAAAGTATGAACCCCAAATAGTATGCATTACCTTCATCACCCATAGGTTCCACATGGTTTTCATCATCATCAAGTGAATTCTTTCTTTTTTTCACATTAATTATTGTATGAATTAGGGAATTATACCTTCAAAGAATCAACAAATGTGAGTCACAAAAGTCAACATCTTCAATCACCAAGTTATTGTCATCAATAAATACATTCTGTAACATCTAAAAAAAGGTAAAAAGAAAGTCTTTTTTTTCATTAAGAAAAAACAACATATCTCAAAAGAAAGTCTAACATACCACTTTCTTGGACTTGAAGAGTGATGATGCTCGATAATGCAATGTGCACAAGCTTCACATTCCCACACGAATGTTAAACCAAAGAGAGGATCAGCTACATTGATCAGAAAAACCTAAAGAATTTAAAGTTTGAATGATTCTTGAAAGAAAAATAAATGAAATAAAAAGAATTGAAACCCATAAAGAGTATAATAATACCTTTGAATATGTGGTTGAAAACACATTAACAGTCATAAACTTAAAATCCTTTGTATGTCTGATGTTAACATGCACATTTTCTTAGGTTCTTCTAAGAGTATCACATCTTCATCCTCTGATCCAAGCATGCTACAATATATCCTAAAATCATACAAGATATATACAAAGTTTAAATTAAATATGAGATATAGAAATTAGAAAAGGTTGTATGTAATTATATAGGATACCTGTACGGCCTCTTTTTTTGATGAGTGATAACATATAGCAATGCTTGACTCCCTTTAGCCCATGCCACATTACATACCCAATTAGCTTGTAGCTTTCTACAGAGAGGACCTAAATTTAAATCTCTAACACATAATTTGAAGAAATCATTGTCTTTATCATACATGGTGTATGCAATGAATCGATGATCAGGTGAGACTTCTGATACCTCTTCATATGCATAACCTAAATCAAGTCATGTTAATAGATTAAATGAAGTGGAAGAGAATTAGAGATCGATGAGAGATGTTGAAATGATACTGGAATTGGAATTACCCCCAAATCTTTTTGCTTCTTGATTGTAATTGATGAGTTTTGGTCAATCCTCTTCTCGGAGATCAAATCGAACCCACCTGTTGGACATTTATGTTAAATGAACTCTTCGCTTAGGCTAGCTAATCTCCTACAGAGTACTGGGTATTGTTTCCCTTCCTCTACTCTCCTATAATACAACTTGAATTCCACCTCCAAATTGCCAAAGAAGAACAAATAATTTGAATTCGGATCCAAAAGAAATCAACAATCTTTAGATGAAGTGAAAATGGAAATTGAAGGTACCAGGGCCCCCAGCGAAATGGAGGAGTGGAGAGCTGAGAAGACATGCAAGATGCCATTTCTGATTGGAGTTTGGATTGAAGGCGACCGGTTTATGCTAAAACAGCTTCATTATACTTCTCTTCTTGTTCCATGTATACGTCCGTGTGACGCATCGCTACTTTATTGTTGAGATTGGACATCCAGATTCAGTAAACCAAATACCTTTATTGTTACTTTTAAGAATGTTTAGGGAGAAGTAGAAGGGCAGAGATAAAAGGAGACAGCGAGGGAGGGCGACATACGAGAATGACGAGGAGAGAATGACGAGAGTAAGGAATCACATAACCTTCAATCAAATGTGTTTTGAGTGAGAGGAGTCATTGGATCTCTCTAAACAATTTATTGAGATGTGGTTCAAATCCCTAGTTCTTTTCGTCGAATGGTGATAATGAAAACATACGGAGACTCTGCGACATCATGAATAGAGAAGAGTAGTATCTGATGGTGCTGATGAAAACATATGAGACAAACACTCTTTACAGAATCCATGGACTCTTAGAGCTGATGGGGTTCGATGCTGGTGATGGGGGCTTAGGGCTTGCAAATAGAAGGGAGAGAGAGTGCAGATCAAGGTACAGGAAGACGGGCTTACGCGGGTGTTTAATTTTTGGGGGTTCGATGCTGGTGATGGGGTTCGATGCTCGTGATAGTGGCTTAGGACCTCACAATATAATTAGGGTTCTTTGTTAGAGGATTGTAGAAGGAGAAAAAGCATTAGGTGGGTGTTTATTTTTTTGGGATTTCATTTCTCACCATCGCCGATTGAAAAAAAAAAGCGAGAACGCACCTTGCTAAAAAAAAATATAAAACGACATCTTTACACGATACGCTTTTTATGGTAGGTGCCATCCGTGTTTTTTTTTGGACATTAATTTTAGGGCGCGCAAAAAATGCTTGTCTTTTATCCTTCACATTTTGTAAAGCCGGACATTATTTTTTAGGGCACACACAAATGTGTGTCCTCTGTCAGTGCATTTCGTTGTTTGCGCATCATTAAATGGCTGTTTTCTAGTAGTGTTTACAGAAATTATGATTTTAAGAATTAAACTTCATATGTATATATATATATATATATATATATATATATATATATAGAAATCGAGATGAAGAAGATGACCTGATAAAGACTTGTAGAGTTCTTGATTTTAGACTTTTAGTTGTAGAATCAATTCAGTAGGGATGGTGAACGATTGAACAACGATGGTCGACTGCAAGTGATGAGCTACGATTGAGCATAAGATACAAATACAATATATGACCATTTGATTGACAAATAATGTCTGTCTAGGAAATATCAAGTAGAAATGATTGATAATTTCAGATATTTTTCTTCGAACAAATCAATAGATCTTAAACCCACCTCTAAGATTTAATGATTACACATTCTTAATAGGAGATCAGAAAATGTATCAAAGGGTGCGACAGAGAATAGAGGTGTCGAGCTAGATCAACGATGCGGTATTGGTGACACAGAGTGAAATTCATTGAGGGAAACTGCATTGTGGAGAGTAAGGATCAGCGATGGTGGCGTGGATCGAAGGTGTGACATCGATGAACAGAGGTTTTGTAGTCGTTAGGGTTATAGCGTTGTTTGGTTAGGCATGAATGTAGTCTGTGGGTGTTGTGAAAATATAACTAATTAATCCTAGATGGCCAAGATAAATATGTGAGAGGGTAGTGGGAGAACAGGAGGGATTTAAAAAAAAAATAAAAGGCTCTTGAAATGAAAGTTTTTGAGGGGATTGAGGAGGGAAATAAAAAAATCAAAACATTTAATAAATAGAATAAAGATAACTTTCAAATTATTTAAACATATAAAGTAATACATGTCTATTAGAGACTGAACTTTAGTCTCTAATAAGTTTTCTTCTAAAATCATAGTTGGTGCTAATCTATTAGAAACTGCAATTCAGTCTCTAATAAGTTTCTTTAAAAACGAAAACCATCGCAAGTCTATCAAGGACTGAAATTCAGTCCATAAGAGGTTTCTCTCCAAAGTATAAATTGAGTATGTATATCAAATACTAAAATTTGGTCCCTATAAAGATACCCTTCAAATGTAATTCAGTGCAAATATATTAGCGACTGAGTTTCAGTGTCATACCCCCAAACCAAGGACGGCGGAAACGTCCGTGGGTGGAGGACTTCATGTAGAGTATTACAACAACGAGAATAATAGTGCTCAAAGTAAATACAACCATCACAATATAATTGAAAAAGTTACATCGGAGAATATGTTTACATGATTCACATCAATTACATTATGATACAAAATGAACTGTTTGACGAATTATTGTCCCATCCTCAAAACGTTGTTGATTTCCTATTTCACTGAATTCCTGAGAATACAAGTAGTTTTGAAAAAGTGTCAACACAAAGGTTGGTGAGTTCATAAGAGATTTTGTTAAAGAAGTAAACAGTTTCCTTGTAAAAGCGTTAGAATATGTATCCAGAAAATCCGATATTTTCTTTAAAATCTGTGTAATGTAGTTTTATAACCGAAGACCAAAATGTATAAGTAACCTCTCTTACTAATAGAAAATGATATGTGTTTAAATCGACATAAACACGCTTGAATTAAATGAAATTCCCGTAAATTCTTATGTTTTTTTAATACTTTATGTACATGTAGTCCTAAATCCGAGGACCGAGAAATAACAAGTATTGGCCATACTTAAAGGTATAAATGTGGTTTCAAATGATATGTAGTCATAATTACCAAAACCGGAAGTGTACAGTAATATCTGTACTCATTGAGATAAAAAGTTATTTTAAATCGACATAAAACCCATTTAGGTTTTAAAAATAAAATCCCGTAAACTTTATTGATTGTTATATCCCTATGTGAGTCACTATAATCATACTATGACTGAATGAACCTGCCACGACGTTTCTCAGGCATCGCAAAACTGAAATGACACTTGTCACCCGTAGACCTGCAGGTCCCACTGTAGCTAGCAGCAAGGTGTGGGGTGTCAAACCCAATATAGATCTATATACAAGTATCACGTTCTCCCTCCAGGAGACTCTGATTATAACTACCAGGAATTATATCCCGCACTCGGGCGTACGGGAAGATAATGTCTCACAATTTAGGTTAACAAGTTTACGTGTAATGTGTGTGAATGTAAATCTTTTCTGTATGAACGTACCCTTTTTGTACCAGTGTGTTATGTCATGTAGCATAAACTATACCTATTATAGTTTATCTAAAACGTTTGTAATATGTAAGAACTCTTTTATGGAAATGCGTTA